TTATTGAGATTTATAAATCTCAATAATACTCTATATAGTGTAAGGAATTTATGAATGTTTTTTAGTATGTTTTCTTTCTTGTGCTGTAGTTTTAAAAGCCAACCATCAATAACGTAGCCCTAAATAATGTCTTCAAAGTCACCTGATTATTTAATTCGCCAGTTGTAGGTCCACATGTGGGTTATTAAATCTGAGTTTAAAGGCATCTTTTTTGTGAAGATCTCTGAGTTTTTTTAGAAGACATTAATGAACAAACAGCTTTATGAAGACCAAGGGACACTGCAGAAATTTCAGGAAGAAATCTCTAGAGAGGTTTGAAGCTCGGTTAGAGCAGAAAAGTACAGCGTTGATTAGAGAAGTTGCTTTTTATGTAAGAATACACATTGTTGAAATACATCCAAATGAAATCATGTTTGTTGGATGTTAGGAACACAAAAAGCGTATGGAATACGTTTCTCTGGTCAGTTGTGAGCTAAATTTTACTACTTGGTCTACATGCAAAGCGCAGTGTTTGCTTAAAACTCATTTCCTAAACACACTTCACCCATGGTGAAACATGAAAGTGGCAGTATCAAGGTGTGAAGATGTTTTTTTCTCTTCAGGGGGAACAGCAGCACTAGTCAGAGATGATAGAGTGATAGGTGGTCCTTTAAAAACATAGCCATGCATGTTTTAGATACACTCACTAGCCACTTTAGTTGGCACACCTTTTCAACTGCTTGTTAATGCAATTTTCTAATCAGCCAATCACTCATTGCATTAAAGCATGTCATCCTGGTCAAAACACTGTGCTGCAGTTAAAACGCAGCATCAGAATAGGAAAGAAAGGTGATTTAAGTGGTTTTGAAGGGGGCATGGTTGTTTGTGCCAGACAGGCTCACTGGAGTATTTCAGAAATTGCTGATCTAAAGATAATTTAACACAACTATCTTTAGGGATTTGCAGAAAATGGTCTGAAAAAGATCAAATATCCAGTGAATGGCAGTTCTGTTGGCGTAAATAACCTGTTGATGCCAGAAATGGCCAGACTGTTTCAAGCTGATAGGAGGGCAATAGTAAGGTAACTAGATGCAGCTGAGTTATGCAGAGGAGCATCTGTTCTGTTCGGACTTTCGAAGGAGGTGGTCATGCTTTCCTGCTGCTCCTGCAACTCCTTACTCTGTCCTTGCTTTGCTGTGTCTTGTCTTTCTGAGCCCTCTCTTTATTTAATCCAAATTCAAACAATGGATCTGGTCAGCTGGTGTTTCAATGAAACTGACCAATTTTCTCAACTGGAAGACAGGGAAAAGGGGACCCCTCCTGTCCTGCCAGGACACACTTTGGGGGATACACCATTGGCTCACGGAAGGCTTGGAGGATGGTGTGTTTTACAATGTTGTCAGTCGAAAATGTGGAAGACGCATGGATTTTTGGATATATTATACTTGGATTTTTTCTGCTTGGATTTGGAGGATACCTGATTTATCAACAATTACAGAGGATGTCGGCAGCCATTTGGGCATTGATCAGGCTGCCGGCAGCGGTTGACACGCTCACAAAGGCTGTGAATGAGCAGAATCATGAGCTGAGCCATTTGCTGGGTGCGATTGAATGCAAGCTGGCTGCAGTGGTTGAATAGCTTCAGATGTAGTAATGTAGGATCACACTCTTTATCTGCTAGATCTAGCTCAGCGATTTAAATGGCTTTCATGGCTAACTTTATATATTAAATGGTGAACTATTGCCTTATTTTTGTTTGTTTGTTTGATTTATTCTTTTGCTTAGCACACGCACGAAAATAATACTGACCCCAACCTGCCCCCTCTCACTAGTAAATTGGCCTGGAATGAATACTGACAACTAGAAAAGATGATATAGTAAAAGGCAAGCAGATGAGCAGGCAGCAACTAAAATGCCAATATTATTGTATCTTCTGCACTGCAACGCAGGTTGTACACTAACATTCCTTGCATTTTATTCCAAAGAGCACAAATGATTCCCACGAAAGAAGAAGAAACTGGATGGACCAGTGGGTTTGTCTGCAGGACAGCAGGTGCGACAGCTAAACTTGAAAGACAAAATGTGACTGTACAGACAGAGAGGACATAATGGATGCTTGAACAATCCTTACTGTTATGTCATACGAAGCAGGCCACATAAGAACTTCACTAAACATATGCTTAAAGGTATCCTTTTCCATCTGGAATTGAGGGATAATGGGGGACGTTGAAGGGTGGGGGTACTCTAAATTTCAAAGGTCATATACAAAATTATGCATGGAAATTGAGGATTAAAATATTGTAGTAAAGTTGTATACTAAACTGAGGATGTAGAAACTAAAACAAAAATGATATTGTCATCCAAACATTGTTGTTTTCAGTTTTGTTTTTTTTAAACAGGAGTTAACTTCTTAATTTGTACCTTATCAGGCACAGTTAAGACAGCATACTGAGGATATGGTTTTATTTTATGTTATTTCTATATTTGATGCCATTCAGGATCCCATCAATGAATTAGGTCAAATATAGAGACACACAGTTCATTCTGTCATCCTTCTGACCAGCTTTCATTTTATTTGCAAATCAGTGCCACCATTATGGATGTCTGAGTTGTGGCTCTCTTTTGTTTATCTGCTTCCTCGTGTTTTCCTGTTGTTTATAGCCTTTAAGTTATATCCTTGTGCTTTGATCACCTCGTTTAGTTTCTTAGTTTATTTTTCTGTTCTGCTCTTTGAACATTCTGTATTATTTCTGCTATATTTCACTTAGATATATTTTCTCCCAGGTTAGATCCTTTCTGTGCAAATCAGCTCAGCCCAATTCATTTCTGTAGTTTTATCTTCCTCAGTCTCCCTACACTCCTTTTTCCCCAGCTGCTTCACATTTTTTCTACATTAAGTCACCTGCTTTCAGTGTCATTCTCCACTAGTTCCTCAGCATATATTGTTCTCATTGTCCCCAGCTTGATCCTTTTGTTAAAAAGCTCCATCCAATGTTGCCTCCCTGTCTCTGCCCAGTTCTCTCTCCATGCAACATGCCCCGTTCTCCTCGTGCCTAGCTGTGAAATTTTAATAGCCTATTTTGTTTAAATTCATTTTCACTATACTCCTTCTGAGTTCCTCTCTGCTGTAAGGTCCTGTTTCAATATATGAAAACCAGGTCACGATGGACATGCTAATCTAGGTTAACATATTCTTTACCAATTATTATCGGGTTTAGTGACATCTTTTGGGACCTTGAAAGCAGGGCTGTTTAGCTGCGCAGTAAGCAGATTTAAATATACATCTATTCCAACATTTGCTAAACGATATTCTATATGATTTTTGTAGGTAAAGTTAAATGCAAAAAAGAAAAAAAAAGCAATATATAATATTGAAATAATTCCTGCTGTAGAATTTACTCATTTAGTTTAGAAAATATAAATACTGATTTATGTCATCCACCATCCATCCCTATGGTCACTTCGGCTGCACTTTGGGCAGATCATCATGAAGCCAACAGAGCAACAGGTTTATTCAGAGGCAGTAGTTCTTTCAACATTACAAAGGTCTTCATTTTCTCCTTTTTTCACATTTCAGAAATAATCTCTTTTTTTTTTATATGATTCTGGATGAAAGATCAACCAACCGTAGTGTACAATTGTTCAGGGCAGGAAACTGACAGATGTTGACAAATAAAAATAACCTTGTCTCAATACAAACTGATCTTCTCCGTGGAAGTATCTTATGTGTGTTGGGAACATGAGAGAACAATCTGTATCATGAAAACCAAGGAACACACCAGATAGGCCGGGGATAAAGCTGTGGAGAAGAGAAAAGTATTAGGTCATAATGCAACAGCAAGCTATAGACATCTAATAGAGTACAAAGATAGTCATCCACTCCAACTGGGAGTAAGGTGCTCCAGTGAGATCTTGTCAAATATAGCATAATCGGTCTTAGATCCATATGTTGGGGAGTAGCGGTATACGCTTCTTCATGAAGAACATGGAAGCTGTTCAGAGTTGATGAAAAGAGGATGGAAGCTAAAAATGGGAAATCATGGATTACCTATTAGATGGTTCAAAGGCCTTAACGGGGATGGAGGTCTGCCTTTAAACAGGACTTTGACTCTTAACATATAGGCAGAGCCTTTTCCAAATACGCTGGATCAACATATGGAAGCATGTGTGAATGAAGAAGTCAAAGTCCAGAAGTGAGTGTCTGTAGGAAGTCTTAAAGACGATCTCCGCCCAGTCTGATCTAGGCTTTGATACAAAGGAATGAGAAAATAGGTCATCAAAAGTGGAAAGCTGGTAGACTTACAACAAAAATTTGTAACTGCTGTAACTTTGCTGTAACTGCAGATACAACAGTGAACGGAGTGTCCCATTTTTTTTTAGATTTTAATCTCTGACAGATGCTTAAAACTGTTTAAAATATTCTTTGTTCCCTCAATAGAGAAGAAAACACCAGTTAATGTTGGTCTATCGCATAAAATCCCAATAAAGCTCTATGCTGGGAACAGAAAGAACAAGGAGATAAAATATATTGTACCGACCAGTGATCTTAAGCTGTTAAGTGTTTATGGTTTCCTGAAATTATGTTATTGTATGATATGAATGAAAGATTTGCTTATTCATGAAGATAAGAACAAAATAAGCATTCAATTTCCTTTCCATCTTCTTTCCTTATGATGAACAAAAAAGAGAAAGTTATATTTTTGGGGGGATTTCAAGCTGAATGTTAACCTTTGCTCCTGACCACATCTATTGGTTAAATAAATACATTTTTTTGTTTTTTTTTCTCCTATCGGCTTAGCTTTGAACTAAATATTTTTCACTGACTCATTTCACCGCAATCAGAGCTGCGCAGAGAGGCTTAAAGCGGCTCATTCATTCGGCAGGTGAGGCCAGTGCTGGAATGCTGCTGAAAAAGGAGAGCCAGGGCCTCACCTGTTGCTGCCTGGCAGCATACACACAGAAACAGGGAGGTGCACAGGAAAATGGACAGGAGGCGGAGTTTGCTCCATTTTATCAAGCTGTCCTGAAAAGCTTTGTAGAGTCAGACCTGCCTGTGGCGCACTTCTACCTGCTGCGTTACTGACAGCGAGGAGCAGCAACTTTGACTTTGTTTTAGCTCGGATTGACCTTTGACATGAACAGGTGATTCCTGCCAAAGGTTAGAAAAAGTCCTTTTCTTCAGTTTGAACCAGTAAACGTCAACAATGAAGAAGGGACTGCATTTTCTGGGTCGAAAGAACCAATCTCTTTATGACACCAACATTAAAATCCAGGACAGAGGTGAGTAAAACCAAACAAGTTCAATCTCATGATCTATTTACTAAAGGTTAACTCGACCTTTGGACTTCATGGTGAAGAGTGTCAAAGCCTTTTTCACTAACTCTTTACAGCTGATAAAAACTTTATGTCAGTGTTAAAAGACAGTTGTTAACATTTTAAGTAGAATGATTTCATTAAAAATTGTATATTTATCAAAGCTTCTAACTTGACTTCAGCTGTTCATCAAAACATTCACCATTATGGATCTAAAATAAGTTCTTTATATACAACAAGTTTTAAAATAAACTCAGACAAGAATGCCTAGTAAGTATCCTATACCTTAAAATGACAAAAGTGAAATATATCAAAAGTTCATTGTTTCTTAGGTTGGTTAGTATAGATTTAGAATGCAGAAAAATTTTAACTATTTATCACTTACATAAAGCTGCGCCAAAGATAAATGTGTTTGTGTTTACATGCATATTTTTTAAAATGTAAACTCTGAAGAAATATATAAACTATATATACTTTCTTATTTATTTTAATTTTCTCAGACGTATGAGGGCAAGGAAGAGATGTGTTCAATTCTTCTACCTTTATAATTAATACTTTCAACAACAAAAAAAAAACATGTTTTTTAGATTATTATGTTGCCATATAACCTGTCCAGAGTGTACCCTGCCTCTCGCCAGTAGACAGCTGGAGAGAGGCACCAGCACCCCTTGCGACCATGCTTGACGGAAAATGGATGGATGGATGTTGCCATACATACTTTAATGCTGTGGAAGAAATAATATAACTGTAAAAATTTTTTCTAATTTGTCTATATCTGTTTGACAATTATGTCACTAACTTAAGAAAGAATGTGCATTTTGCATAACTGCACTATCATAACAATATCACCTATACTTTTCAATGCAGAAATTTTTTTTAAACAGCCGAAATTCATAGGTTTCTGGGAAAAAAAAAAGAAAAGCTATTGTCGCAGGTAAATATGTTGCTTAATCTATAATACATAAGCATTGAGGCATCTTTTTAATATGTTTTTATTAACTTTTTCCTGTGAACATAACATAAAACCCAAATATTTTAATCATGACATAGATGAATGTATTGTATCACCTTTTAGACCTTTCTTGGAAGAAAAAAACACTGCTGGATTCAGTAAACATTTTGCTAAATATGTAAGATACATAGAAAAAAAATTGTAACTTAGTGTTAAAAATGGTTAGACAGAATTTATAAATGGATTGAATAAAAGCTGCCAATAATCAGACTCCTAAAGCTATTAAGGTCTCAGTGTTGTTTCTTTTGTTAGGCTTTAAATCCTTGAAATGAAAGCTAATGGACATTTGAAACGTGTTAAACGTGTTAAAAGCTACATTTTTGGACTTCTGATCAACTCAAAGTCTCCTACCTCCATATTCACATACCTCATGGACTGTGTTTAAGCAAACGATCTCTTTATGTTGCAGTTTTTGTTTTATTTAAAATCTTTCAAAAATCATTGAGTCTTAACTCTGAACCCAATCTATGTTTTTAAAGAATACTTGGTAAAGAATAATTTTTTTTTTCTTTTTTTTGCAAAGGGAATTAGTTAAACTATCTAAATTTTAGATTATTTTAAGAAGAGGAACAGAGCTTTCAGTGCTTTTTCCTTATTAAATTATTTTGGAAGAGCAATGCTGCTCCATCACTGGTGAGCACACTGGGCAGCAAGCCATACTCCACCATACAGAGTACCACAAATGTTTTCTACCGCTAAATAGTTCTTACCTTTACTTTCTAAATTATAATAACCCACTGGGATTGGATTAAAACTTTTTTTTAACCATCCTTTTTTTTATCTAGGATGAAAAGTGAACTGTTCAACCATAGATAACTACTTAAAAAATGCTTTTATCGTCAGCTATTCTTAGTTCTCTCTTTCAGGATTTGCTGGTGCTTAAGTGGATTGAATAATCCCCCCTTTGTTTTCTTTGTTTCTGACAGCAATGACTGCAACCTAAGCTGTACATTTGATCTATCCATTCCTGTAGGTTGAAGAGCTAAATCTGGATCTTTTCATGCTAAACATATAGTGCCTTTTTCTTTATGTAATGGAGGGGTTTTACCCCAGAAAGGGTCTTTCAGTATTCTTATATGCAAACGTAAGAATATCAATCAATCTCCAAAGTTAGTGTCGTTGGTGTCGTGACCACACTTGGGGTCCTTAATCAACCAGTATGGGTTCTTGAGAACCAACACAGAAAATAAACTTAACAAAAAATAATGTTGAGGTGATTTAAGGTATAAAAGCAAATATTTTTGTCTTTTAGACTGTTTTCAATCAATTCATGTGTCACTAATGGATTTTTAAACTAAAACAAAGGTTTGGGTCATGGATCAACTCAGGGACCATTTCATGGAAGAGAAGCTGAAATGTTTTGGAGCCTCTGTCTTAGATCATAGTATTATTGGCAGAGGTGTGGCAGATTAACACAAAGACACTTACTTGACTCTTGCTTAATGTCTTCTGCAGCAATGAAATGGTTGTAGTTTGAATTGCCAACCAAGAGTTTTCTTTAGAAAGTTCTGTTTATCTCCCGCTCCTTTGAAGAATTAAACACAGACTACCTACTCATGATGTTTATGTGTCAGGGTCAATAGTTAATCTCATTTTCAGACATGAAGATGGCAGATCTAATGTCCTAAAATGGAGATCATTAAGAATGTGCAAAACTTTCAGCCCAACTAGCTACTCCAGTTTTTAAGAAGTATGGAGATTCATCAACATGTTTTAACAGATGTTTAAAAATTTTGCATGAAACAAGGAAGAGTGAGGCAACAGTCTGTTGCATCATTAACCTGGATTTGAGAAAACTTACCAACTTAATGCCCAATTTCTAGGAAAAAACAGCAGTGTACAGACTTATAGTTTTAGGCCAACTGGAATCTAAGCCAATTGAAGCACAGCAGCAATTGCTATGCAAACAGTGCAACATGAGAGAGAGAACATTTGTCTATTTAAATCAGGATGGAGCACAATAGGAAAACTAATCATTTGGTTAGACTGGTTTAACACCATGGTGTTTTCATTCCTCAGCTGTTTCCACATTCTTTACTGACTTTATCATATTCTTTGGTCTGAAACAGAACAAAAATAATCGGAATCTTGTGCTTATTGTGTCTCAAAACTGAGGAGAGACACAGTGCTTTTGGGTGCCTGTGATGTGTTCACTAACTCTTTGTTTGCTAGATTGTTAGACCACAAAGAGTTGAAATGACTTACAGGCTAAATGCCTTTCAGTGACAACCTGTTGTCGGTCACTAATCGGACAAACACGCTACAAGGAAATGCTTCTAAAATATTGTTTTTCTGCAGCACACTCATTATATACATCTAATTTCTTAAGAACCAGTACATCTTGATTTACCCAGCTATATCCTGCTTCTACATCCCACTGCTTTTTAAAACCCACCATCGCTCACAACTCTTGCCTAACAGCTGCAATGTGTGCTGTACAAACACTGGGGAGGTAACGTGGCTTAAGCAAAACAGCTTAGTGATGCAAATTATTTTAAATCAGCTTCTTCGAAATCAGTTTGCAGTGTCTCACTGCAAGCTGGATCTGGAAGGATCAACATCTATGTGTCGCTTTCTGTCCTTCATCGCTGAACTTTCACTGAACCATAGTGGTGATATGTAATTAAAAGCAGTAATGTGAGCTTCTCATGTGTTTCCCTTATTATGCTGTTAACAGCAAAGCAAACACCAGACAGTCAGGTTGACTAATAGCCATTTAAAAGTCACTTTGGGACACATTGTATCTCATTACACACAGTTGGAACGTATAGTTCTTCAGACTTTCTCTAATCTCTGTTTCTTCTTTCCTAAAGTATTTAAATATAAACCACCAAATATCTGTTTGTTTTTTTCTCTCATCAGACAATATTGAGTTAGTGCTGGATTCAAAATCTGCAGTCTTCGAATCGGGTACTGCTAAGGTGAAAGCCAGACCCACCGTCAAGCATCACACTGTAAGTCTGTCTATCTATCTATAGATATAGATATATAATTCACTATTTTTTGCATTTTTTTTTTTTTTGCAAAGAGAACCATTTTTTTATTACAGGATTTTACCAAATTGAATGTTTTAGATCAGCAATGACAAAAAAAAAGATTATACCTTGTGAGTATATTTCTTCAGCACTGCGCTGATAAATAATGTTATAAGTAAAGTTTCAGGAAAGCAGATTTGACCATTGGAGTTGCAATTAAGTTGCAATGCTTCAACTTTGAATGTTTGACCCTGAATCCAAGGACCCTCAACACATGATGGATGGCCATTGAAGGAAAAAGCAAAAGCCAACTGAGCATAAACATTTTCTGCTTTAGGCTATGCTTTGGCCAAACTAGGAGTCTCTTTTCTAGTCTCCATGGTAACCTCTGTTTTAGTGTCTTTGTGGACATAAGGTAATTTAGATTAGTGGTATTCAACTCAGGACCTGCTGTTCTGTAAATGTAATGTATTTCCCCACCTCCTCACAGCTTGCTTAAATAAACGGATTATTACCATCTTGGTGGTGGCTGAGGAGGGAATGCTATCATTTAGTTGCTGGTGTGTTTGTTGGATGGATGGATGGATGGATGGATGGATGGATTACCATGACATGTTGTTCTGTTGTTGAAAAATTTAATCTTTCAATTTTACCAAAGTAATTTAGATTTTTTTTTATAAAGCCAATATTTTCTAAACTAAGACTAAAGTGTTAATTAGCTCATGAATGCCTATTAAAAAAATGAATAATTTTGTACTTACGCTCACTGGCCACTTTATTAGGTACCCCATGCTAGTAACGGGTTGGACCCCCTTTTGCCTTCAGAACTGTATCAATTCTTCGTGGCATAGATTCAACAAGGTTCTGGTAGCATTCCTCAGGGAGTTTGGTCCATATTGACATGATGGCATCACACAGTTGCCGCAGATTTGTCGGATGCTCGGTTTGACCTGCAGGAGATTGTCTTGACCATGTCTACATGCCTTAATGCACTGAGTTGCCGCCATGTGATTGGCTGCTTAGAAATTAAATGTTAACAAGCAGTTGGACAGGTGTACCTAATAAAGTGGCCGGTGAGTGTATATCCCGCTTTATTGACATAAAATTACTTATTGGCTTTCAAATTTTTCTTTAGCAATGTCAAATAGTTTAAAATGGTTAAGGTTTAGGAAAAACAATAAGTTATCCATCTTAGCAACATTATAACATAACGGATGGATCTCTAAGTTTTTTTGTTGTTATATTACATATATATTATATATTTAGCTATCCCACGTATTGTTTCTCAGGTCCAACCCACTACTTATCCACACTTTTTTTAGGGACCTTAGAAACATTAATCCTAATTTAGGTGGACATTAGCAACGCATATGACTGACAGGCCTGCCATTATCTCGTCATTGAGCAAATGAAGCTCATCTGTGATCCGGTTCACACACCACGCCCTTTTGAATGGGAGTGTTTCTCTGGCACGAGAACATGGCACACCTTGCTGCACATGGGCAGGTCAGCTCTGAGCACTGCGGCAGCTGAAAGTGAGTCAGAGATGACAGAGGGAGCAGACAAAATCAAACTGGATTGTACACACCCTCAGATGATCAGGGAGGCTTTATGTTTTTTAAACATCGGCTATGTGAAAGGGATTATTAACAGAGAGACTCATGCAGGGTATGATATTAAGAAGATGTCTGACTTTGTTAAGAAAACAGATAGAGTGGATGAACTTTCACATTTATTTACCCCTGCCTCCTATGAAAATGTGAAATATGACAACCCAAACATTCAAAACAAAAAAAATCATAGCATTAACTAATAAATTATGCTACATTTTTTTTAAAAAGCAGGAAAAAAATACCAAGCAAAATTATAACATTTTATAAGTTATAATTATGTTAATTATGAAACACATTTATAATTACTTTTAATTTAAACATTTGGAGTCAGAAATCTATTATTTTAAACATTTGGGGTCAGAAATCTAGAAAACGTACCCGCTGCATTACCGTAGTTTTCATTTTGAAGTTTGAAGAATGTTTCATCCTTGAGTGAAAAAGCTGACAGTAGCAGGACAATAATCTGTTCAGGTAGAGCCTGAAATCAGCTGCTTAACAGACATACTTCTCATAGTTTTTCAGCGTTAGATTTCAAATATTTTTACATTCAAAATAGTAAGTAAGTAGCATTTTATAGCACACTTAATAGCTGAAAAAATCTAAGGACAAAGCATCAAACATTATTCATTTCCAATGAAAAGATGAGGTTGGATAAAAAGACGACGATAAAAGCTTATAAGAATAGAAATGTCAGTAGCTGCTTCTGTAATAGTTCAAGATTCCAAAGAGAACCAGAAAGCCCTTTCCACAGTCAAGATGCAATAGTCTGGAAAAAGCCATACGCCTGTGTGTTTCAGGTAATCCTTGGGATTAGGGACAAATTTTTGTTTAAGGAGCTGAGAGCTCAAAAATTTGAATTGAACAACTTTGTTTCATATTCATATCCCTGCCAGATTAAGATTGAAAATGCATCCACTAGAGAAGCTTGTTTCAGATAAAAATGTGTGGCAACCTTTCTGAAAATCAATAAAATTATTTAAAAGTTCATCCTTTTCTAGTTTTATTTAATTTGAAAAGTAATGAAAATTGTCTTTTTGTCTCCTCCAAATATTGGAGGTTGCACTGCCTCTTATCCAAGGAATATGCAGGAATATCTTTAACCTAAAATCGACCCGGGTATTGATAATTTTAGGATTTTTTATAAGAACAAGGTGAACTATGAACGTTAAAGTGACATGGTTCCCAAAAGGTTCCCAAAAGGAACAAGTATTCAAGGCAAAGACTGTAACAGGATACAACCTTGAAAAAATTGAGTCATACATATTTACAACAACTGCGTGCAAATAAACAAACATTACATGTATATAATGTTTTCACAGCAAGAGATGATTTTGCAGACAACAGGCACATGACTTGCACCAACAGAAACATGCTGGGCTATGCTGATGGATTTACAGTGTTAGATCTCGGGGAATCTCTATTATGTAAACACAGCCTGTATTTGTTTTTGGTGCCATTGGTTCCGCGAAGTGAACATCACCTCTCTTTTTTCCATTTTACTTACACAAACACGCAAGTTTCTGTGAGTTTCCTCACAAGGCTTTCTTTGGCAACAGGCAGTGTTATGTGTTACAGGTGGATCCTCTGTTTCAGCCAATGTTCCTCATAAGCAAAGAATGTGAAACTCCAGCGTTCCACTTGCAATTACGTTATGAGAAACCTACAAAAAAGGCATTCATTTTTGTACAAAAGTGTTCAGGAATTTATGTAATGTGCAGGCAGAAATTTATTTGTTAGATGAGTACAGTGTGTGAGAGCTCATAAAAATCAATTTTATGTTGAATATGCCAATAATGTGTCATGCTTTGCTGGAACACTTGGACTATATAAAAGCTGAGAACTGGTTTGTTCACCTTTAAGAGCAAAGGCTTGCCAACAAATCAAGTAAAGAAAATATTCCTGCAGAACAGAACGTACGATTTTTATGCTCAAGCCATTTCTGCTTCTTATGTCAGTGAGTTCACTGATCTCATGGTTTTTGGTGTCTCCATTGCAGTCCTCGTTGGAAGCTTTCCAAGGATTTGCTGTACCAACTCCTACTGTTCCTGATCTTCCTCCTGCCAATGGCCCAAAGATCAATGGGACAGGTAAGCATCTGAAGAACTCTCTATGTATTTCAGGTTTAAACTCCCAATGTAAAAATGTAATTTTCTAGGCTTTATTGGACCAGGTTAATGTGGCACCTCTACTCGGACTCAGGTAATGGATCAGAGTAGTAAGGATAAAGGACTGATCCGGGGCATGTCAATGTTTGTCCAAGTAGTTGCTCAATAACTAGAGGTCATAAAAGATGGAGAGCAAATTTACACTTTGGGAGTGTTTCCCTACATTTCAGCTTTTTTTTAAGCCAACTATGTTACAAAACAGTAACATTTTCAATACACTATTGTGTAATTTATTTAATTTTTTGTTATTCTTTTAAAATCATTGTTTCTTTTTGTAAAGATACAATTTTGAGTCAAACCATAGGCCTAAATGTATTTTATTAGAATTGAATTGGTCCTAAACAGTTTTTTTTAAAACAAAAATCAGTTAATAGTATTATTAGTTTCCGTCAATTCCTAATCAATTAGTTGAACCTACTTTATCTGCATCTGCAGTTTTAGGTCATATAAAAGTTGTTTTTTCAGCAGATTTTACTACCCAAGCTGTGATTGGTTGATGCTCTTCGATTTACCGATGTTTGCTAACAGACCTTCAAGACCTTTAAATACAATATAATGAGAAATTAAATAGATTCTATCTACTGATTGTCATGCATTATAAGGCAGCTGGTTTCACTGGACCTGCGTTTTGAGATTTCAAAAATATGATTATCGAAAAGACATAGAAACTCTTAGAATTAAATTATTTGACATGTGAACTGGTATCCTTCCAGGCTAAAAACTAGGCCAAATTCCGTTATGTAATAACCTGGGATATCCTATTTGGAATGGTTAAAAAAATCGGTCGAACAGAATTCATTTAGCATTAAAACGTTTGCAATTATAAACAAACATACAAGCCTTTAAAGTCTTCTCTGTGAAATTACTTAGTTTTAATCGCTATCCTCTTTTCAACAAATATACTCCTCAGCTGAGAAATGTAAACGATTTTGTTATGTATAGGAAGCTTATGTGATCTATAGTGTTCTGGAGATCTTTCCTCTAATATATCTGTTGTTTCAGCACCAGGCCAAGAAGAGAAGATATTTGTCCCTCCTCCTCCTTCAATGGCCCCTCCACCGCCTCCAGTGGATTTCATTCCACCTCCGCCAGACTTCATGGGTGACTTAAACAGCTTAGACCCACTGGCCCTCCAGCCTCCGTCTATGCCAGCTCCAAAGCCACCATCTCTGGTGGAGGAGGATTTGTCCATCTTAAAACCACCGCCAATGGCACCTCCAAAACCTCCATCTACCTGCTCCACTGGATCCGGGTCATCAGTACCCATCTCTGTCCCACCAGCAAAAGTCCCTGAACGTCCAAAGTTTGCCCCACCACAGCCCCCCACTGAAAAGCAGCAGAAGACTGTGAAGGTCCCACCTCCAAAGCCCATCAGATTATCATCTATGTCTACTTTGGAGTCCCCTCCTCACTCCCCTGCACCACCTCCCCCAATACAGTCATCAAAATTGTCCACCTTTAACCCTCAAAACAAAGCAAAAGTTTATGATCCTCCAGAACCCACATTTCCTAGCCAAAAGCCAAAAGCAAAGCAGATGTTACTCTTACAAGAATCAGGATCAGTTGAATCTGCACCTGTGCTGGTAACGGTAGATGGAAAAGCTCCTCAAGCTTCTCAGCTAACTAAACCAGAGCCCAGAGCTGTAAATGAAGTAAAGGAGGCATTAGAAATAAAACAAGACACCATATTACCTGAGTTCCAAAAAGAAAAGAAAATAGAAGTTAAAACTGAGTCTAAAAAAGCAGCTCCAATACCGGCTCCAATAGTGGAGACTAAAGCAGAAAATGTTCCAACTCAGTCTGATATTACCAAGCCCCTCCAGCCTCCATCCTCACAGAAAACGACTAGTGTCCAGATAAATTCACACACTAACAAGAACCAATTGAAAGCCTCTCCAGCTCAAGGCCGCAGCTTCAGTCCCTTATTGGACCGTAAACTGTACAGCCTGAAGGCCAATGAAACCAAACCGTCAACATCGCCGTTGGCTCTCCTGCAGGCGGCAAAGGAAAGAGAGAAACAAAGAACCACTTCTTCTCTGTCACGCGAAAGCAGCACCAAGATGAGTGAATCAGTGTATTCAAATTCCTCTACTGACATTCCAAGGTCAACTTCTTCAATTATACCCAGTCAAATTAGGCCAAATGAGAATGCAACTGTTAGACCTGTAGAACAAAAGATTCAGAGTCCAGAAAAACCCTTAAGTCCAACAGCCCTGGCCAAAGATCAGAAACTATCGAATGATTTAGTTTTGACTAATTTCACAGCGTCCCCAACTGTGAACAGCCTGGGTGAGCAGAAGCAAAGGGCAGAGGAAAAACTCTCAAAGTTGCAGGATGAACACAATGACATTCCTAAAGAGGTAACTTTGCCATTGCTGCCTCCACCGCCAGAGTTCGGTGACTTTGATGATCAAATACCAGAGTCACCACCCTCCATCCGTCCGCCTGATCCCCCCTCGACAAAAGCACCAGCACCCCCGGAAGTCACACCAACACCACTAGTAGTTACAAAGTCTCCAGCACCAGCTAAAGCCCTAGCTCAAACCCCAGCACCAGCTAAAGCCCTAGCTCAAACTCCAGCACCAGCTAAAGCCCCAGCTCAAATTCCAGCACCAGCTAAAGCCCCAGCTCAAATTCCAGCACCAGCTAAAGCCCCAGCTCAAACTCCAGCACCAGCTAAAGCCCCGGCTCAATCTCCACCCCCTGCTAAAGCCCCATCTCAATCTCTAGCTCCACCACCAAAGCTCCCCCCTCCTGATGTACATGTCAAACCAAAGGCACCAGTCCAGACTAAATCCAGTCCAGTCCCGACTCAACAACCAAACAATATTTCATCCAACCAGGCCACCCTCCTTAGTATTTTACAGAAGAAGATGTTGGAAATGGATCACAAAATGGCTCCAGTTAACAAGTCAGAGCAAGGCTCTGATGAGTGGGGTAGCTCTTTGTTTGATGAAGACAACAAGATGCCACCGGTGCCAAAACCGAAACAGGAAAGCAAAAATCCCCCCACCCCCACTAACAAAACAGCATCTTTAGACATGAAAGAGTTGGAGAACAAAGTACTACATAAAAACCAGCAGAGCACACAAGTGAAAAGTCCCACCACCAAGTGAGTACATCAGGGCAAAGAAAAGAGAGAGTATACCATAGTCTGTTTGGACATTACAATCACTCAAAATGTTTTCTTCTTCACAGAAACGGGATCCAATCAAGACATCAATATGGTTTGACGTTCACCATCAGACCTGGAACCAAACAACCCATAACACTTGTTAATAAGGGGCACTGATGTTGGACAAACCTGCTGTTCACACAGGAGCATTTGCCAAAGCTACTTCCACAGTAAAATGGGATAATTTGAAAGATCTTCCTTTCTGCGACTCCGGCCTGTTTCTCTTTAAATAAAAGACCAATAAAAGCTACATTTTTGGAGTGAGGCTAGGTATTTAAATGTTGTTAATGTCAGAAAAAACATTAACAAAGAGGCCTGTCAGAAACCTCACCATTAATATGATTTCTCAGAGTTTTTGTAAATCCGCCTGTTTCCATTAGACTAATAATGCAGGTCAAAGAAATTTTTTCATGTGTTGAGGAGATGAAACACTTTGGCAATTGAACAAGACAATTTAAATTTAAATAGGAAAAAACAATTGCATTGTCTTATTTCAGGTGCATTTCATCCAATTGTCTTATTTTAAGAGTAAAATACTCATTCCATTGGCACATCATCTTTTTTACCTACTCAAATTAAGGGTAAATACATTTGATATAAGACATTATTGCTTATATCTAGATAATTTTTGCAGTGTGATCTTTTAAATGTTGATGCAGTAAATCTCATCATTGATGCAGAATAGGTTAAAGCTTTGGGTCGTTTTTGCTGAAATTTCAGATAAAGAGTAGGTGCAGATTGATTTTTCTCTCTCAAAAACAACAACAAAGATAACTTTAAAAAGATAGCAAGAGTAATGTGGTTGGCACCTAAACATTATGTATCATTTGTGCAATAACACAAACATGCCTGGCGAAGATGTTACAAGCATTTTATTATTATTTTGGAAGTTAATGCGGAAATTGTAGGGATGGTCGTTGTGTTTCTTAAGTAGAGCTTTCTTCAGATCTAGACATTAATATGGATAATCTTTAGAGTGTTGTGGCTTTTTTTCTGCCTGTTAAATCCTATTTTATTTGGAGACGCACAAACCAGTCTACCAATCTTTCCTTGACTGGCGCCTTTAAAAAAAAAAATGTTCTCCTTATTCTTTTTGAATGTTTCCAAAAGTTTTGAAGAAATCAGGAAAGCTTAGGGAAATATGTTTTGTGCATAAAAGGAGTTAATAGTTATTTTGTGGGTTAATCTTACAGGTTAAGAGAAGCTACGCGTTTTTGTTTTTCTATTTTATGCGGATTAGTCCCAAAACAATCAAAATGGACAATCTGAAAATCGATATCAGGCAGGAAAAAAAGCCTCACCTGTGCATTTATACCTGTTTTTGTTTGTTTTTTAGCAATTTCAATGTATACTGGAAATTATATTTGTTTGTGTAAATTCTGGAGGTTTTAAAATGTCTTTAGTTCTCTCAAATATTAATTGTAAATTAAACCATTGTATAAAAGATCTTTATATGCTGGAATTACACACAATGTACCCATAATGTTTACTGTTACATGTACATAAGTCCACCAGAACAAAGCAGACTGCCAATTTAGGTAACCAGTTGCATGGTTTTTTTATATTTATTGATTTTAAAAATATTTTAATATAAGGATATCCTGTGATTAATTATTGATGTAGTTACATTCGCATTATTATTGTACATAATAGCCTCATGATGATTTTTTTTTTTGTCTGTGTGTAATTTTTATAAAGCTTTTAAGGATACATATTTTTTTGTGGTTCATATTCTATTTCCAAACATTTACTGAATGGTATACTTTAATAATATATCGAACTTTCACTCTCTCATATCTTTTTTTTTTTAAATAATGCTTCCTAATATAAGTCATAAGTTGTGAAGGATACCTGCGGGTACCTGACCCTGTGCAAAACTCTGACAGAGGGCACTCATACCCAGTGTTGTATAAAGTACTGAAATGTCGGAGTCAAGTAAAAGTATAAGTACCTCTCCAAAATATGACTTTGGTAAAAGCCCAAGTCACTGACTGAAATGTTACTGAGTAAAAGTCTTAAAGTATCTGAAATGGCTTGTACTTAAGTATAAGAATTACTGTAAAAATAGATGTACTCAAGTAATGTAGTGAAAAGTATAAGTAAAAAGTAAGTGCAGTTTGAATGACATTTTTTAACATTTTGGTAAACTTTGAAGGTTAAATTCACTGAAAATAATATAAACAACCAAGTGTAGGATAAATTTAGACAGGCTTTGCGAAACAGGCGTATCCTATTGGTGTTGATGAACAAGCCCAGGCAAGACCCGACTTTGTAGTCAGTAGGTGAGGTCAAAACACTTGCCTTTCTATCGCTCTCGTTTTTTGTTTTTTACTTAGTAACTAAACCAAACATTGAAAATGTATCGGAGTAAAAGTATGCAATTAAGTTCGTAAATGTAGTGAAGTTAAAGTGAAAGTTGTCAAAAAAATGTATACTTTTGGAAAGTATAAAGTACTCCAAAATATACTTACGGTAAGTACAGTAGTGAAGTATTTTTACTTCGTTACTATACAACACTGCTCATAGCCTTGGTGGTCCGCGAGTGCATTGCAAGGGGTACATGAAAGTATCTTATTTCTCAGATAAAATAAAATGGGTCTGGGTCTGTTCTACTTTGTGAGGACCCAACTAAAAAATAAAACAAGCTTTTTACAACCAAAAAATAACTTATGTTGATTATTATAGGTTTGAGCTCAACTTCAGCTTTGGCACTCATCAAAACCAAGCAGAGGAACAGACTGCATGTAGAGAACAGCCTGGTGTATTCACACATCTAAAATCAAAGCAAGCTCATGTTTCATAAATGTTGAAAACAAATGGAGTCCGACTACAAATATTGTTCAGTATTTTGTCCCCAATTCAAGTTTAAATGGGATTATAGGGGAGTTACTCAATTCAATATTTTGATTCCTTACTAGCTTCCAGGCAACATATAGAGCTCTGCAAGAATCTGTTGCATTAATTAGGATGATGTTTTAAGTCTTATTTCCATTAATCTTGCCATTGCAATCACAGCTAATGAAATTATTTAAGATCAAGACATTGTGTCAGAATAAGAAAACTATTTCAGTACAGAAACATGGGCTTTATCATACAGTTATGAGGGGATCCTTTCTTTTTACAGACCATAGCATTCTAAAAAATGTATTCAATGGAAAAATTAAGATCGAACTGGGAAAAGGTCCCGAGTTTAATTTTTAATCTAACTAAAACCTACGATTAAACTTTTTAAACCTTTTTAGAAAATTTTCCAATAGCTTTTTTGTTAGCAGTTGGTAGCTCTGATCTGGCTCTATGAAAGCATCAGTCTAACAATGACGATTAACTGCAAGAAAAAAAACATTTTGGATCTTTTGCCAAACTGTACTGAATATCTTTTTAAATATTTCAACAAACACACAAAACAAATGCTAAATCAGTCCAACAGCCTTAGGTTTCTTTAATGTAAAAGAATGCAATACAAACATGGCGATGCTAAACAACATGAAAGTCTACAAGACAGAAAAGAAAACCCAAACACCAAAAAATGTGCATCAATCTACAGGGCTGAGTGCATCTTCTCCTAAGATATAATATCCAACCATTAAGATACACATTGACATCCCACATGGGTGAAACAGGTGACGGATCAAGTCTAGGATCAGGAGCTGGCAGATCCAGAGGTTGGACTGATGTTGTGGTGAAGCACGTGGTGATCCCAGCCCACAGTGGTGAGAGTGCTGGAATCACCATGACGCCAGCACACATCTTTGACAAAGTCCTGGTGTCTCCGATCTCTGAATCTGTGGAAAAACAAAATAAAAAAACAATATGCAGTTTGTAAAAAGTTTGATGGAGAAAAGAGAAATTGTTAAATGAACTGAAAAGGCTCACATTTCCTGCAGTTCGGCATTCATAACAGAGAGGGAGCAGTCATCACTAACGGAGGCCAGCAAAGAGGCGCTAGGATGGATGACAGATGAATAATTTATATATACTAAAGAAAATAAACCCTCACCAAAAGAAGAACATTTAGGCGCAATAAATCTTTACCTATTTGTGGAGAAGCTGAGGTTGTTAACCCTGCGGCTGTGGACTTTTTCCAACCGAGCCGGTTCTGCTCCAAGAAAGTCTTTCAGAGACACGTTACCCAGGTCATCGCCTGAACCAAAACAAATATGCCGTAAAGAACACGCACAAAGAAACACCTAAAACAGACAAAACTGGGCCTCTTTCTGTCAATAACCTGAAACTAAGGCCTTACCAAATGCAATAGTGCTTCTACTGTGGGGGTGCCAAGCAGCAGCGGTGGGAGAACTGTTGGGGAACTTTACGTCTGCATCAAAACACAGTATACTATTATTTTACACTTTCTGAGTTATCAGGACCTCTAATGTTGGTGCAGTATAGGACAGCTTGCACGAGTAGCAGCCCTACCGATTCTCGAAGCTGGTTTATCTGGCTTCCTCACGTCCCACATCAACAAACGGCCATCCTGAGGGACAGAGACCGCACTGAAAACACCTCAATTTGAACATTTTAGTCTCACGCCTGAAGAAAATAGCTGCATAAAATATTTAGCTACATATCTGCTCAAAGCCTGTATGAAAAATTTCTACAGTTTCATCCAGTAATTCAACCTTTAAATCCAAACAACAACCCGTCTGATTTTCCTCCATTTTGGATATATGAGGAGAACTATCTTTATCTAGGTAAACATCCTGATTAACAGATTTTAAACAAAAAACTATTTGCAAAAAAAATTCTCTTTAAATGTGACAGATGGGTATAAGTACGGTGGCCCTGAAGTGCAAACTGCAACTACAAATCTAAAAGCGCAACTACATCAAGAAAAACAAAACTACATAAAGCAAAGCGCAACTACATTAACGAAAACACATTTACATTAACCTACTGGAAAAGGTAGGTACCAGTGGGAAACATGAGACATCGCTGATTGGACGACGGCGCCGTTTGACCCTTGAACCGGAAGTCATTCTGCCTGCTGCGGCTTTTGAAAAAATGGATATTGTCGGCGCCCCAAACATAGCTGCCGTTATCCAGGAATATTTTGAATCAGGACATACGTACGAGGTGATAATGGATATGCTCAAGACTTATCACGAAATTTCAGTTAGTATCCATGTTTTCAAAAGTCAAACGGCCCCGTCGTCGAATCAGCGATGTCTCATGTTTCCCACTGGTACCTACATTTTCCGGTAGGTTAATGTAATTGTGTTTTCCTTAATGTAGTTGCGCTTTGCTTTATGTAGTTTTGTTTTTCTTAATGTAGTTGCGCTTTTAGATTTGTAGTTGCAGTTTGCACTTCAGGGCCACCGTATACAAGTCAGTTTTCATTTACAAACAATGTGAGACAAATGCTAAATGATTTTGCCATGTAATTCTTTCAGTCGCATTGGTGCAGAGCTTCTCTTTCCAAAGGCAGGCAGAAACTGAAATATCATCAAATAATTTAGTGATAGATCCTTCTACCTCAACCACAAACTGTATAGCTTCATAGCTCATATTTAGTTCCAGATTTAGTTTGTTATTCCATTTAGATGTATATTTTCTAATAGGTGCATAATATGTCTGAATGGTTTAACTCAAACTTGTTCTTTTCTTTGAGGTTGGAGGTGGAAGCCTGGAACGAACCACTTTCCCAAAGTTGACCTTAGTTATTTTGTCACCTTAATATTCACTTATTATTTTTAAGAGAGTTGTTTTATTTGTTAAATATGTTTTAGATTTATATGGACTTTTTGGATTTGTTGTTTCTATGTTATATTGTGCCTCCCTCATGTGGCAAATTTAGGTTATTCCACCCATATTTAAGCAGCCTGCGGCTCCATAGCTATGTGAAGCTCTTTTGACCCTCTACAGTGGCTCTTAAAAGTGGCTAAAATGTATATAAAGAGCTCAATAATCTATAATAAATATCGGTCTTATAAGGATTATTGGTTTCTATAAGAAGGAAAAAAATTACTTTAAAATAACCAAAAATGTTTTTAAAGCCATTTTGATTCAGGAAATGTGTTTTAATATAATTTTAAAAGCTACAGCTGCATAACTTGTTGGTTGTTTAAAATGGCAACTACTTTCCTATAAGAGATAAAAAAAAAAAAAAAAAAAAAAAAAAAAAAAAAGGATAGGCTGTTTTTTGAAGAAGTCAGGATATAAATTGCAGCTCTAAACAACTTTTACTCGGCCAGACTCAGGGCCAAATGGCTCCTTGGTTATTAAAGATTGCAGACCCCTGGCTTGGACTCACAAGATAAAACATCAAATTTTATAATTATGTTGGAACATTTTTTTAAACACAAATTTAGCCAATGTATACATTTTATTTATATTTCTTAGTTTAAGAACAAAAACATTTTTTACATTTTCTGGGAAAAGAGAGAAAACAGCCCACTGAGAGATATGCATTTGTAGTGAAGGAATTCCGCTTTTTAAAATCTCCAATGATTTTGCCTCTACCTTCATAAAAAGCTGGACTGAATTATTAAGAAAACATTTAATTTTAATACCATTCCTCATCATTGATTACCCCACTTTCCTGCAACTTATCGATGTCAGCCTGTACAGAAACTCATCAGGCAAGTCCATTAAGGGCAGCTATCTACCCATCAAAATGTCAAAATATATCACTGAAATCCAAAGTGGGATTGTCTTTCACTTTAAATTGGAATTAATGCCAAATATTCTATAACACAGGTACATTGCAATTGGC